TCAGCAATGGTGCTTACGGAGCAGTTTATCTGGTGCGACATCGAGAGACCAGACAACGTTTTGCCCTGAAGAAAATGAATAAGCAGACGCTGGTGCTTAGGAATCAAGTGGATCAGGTAATAATTGATCCACCAGTCGTATTGTACAGTTTAAATCTAATCTCTAATAATAGGTATTCGCTGAGCGGGATATCCTCACTATGGCCGACAACCCATTTGTTGTGTCATTCTATGGATCATTCGAAACCCGGCATCATCTCTGCATGTTGATGGAATATGTGGAAGGTGGAGATTGTGCAGCGTTGTTGAAGAGCGCTGGAACGTTGCCAATCGACTTAGCCAGGTGAGCATTTTGCAGTTATGAGCTTGTAAAATTACTTTGATAATCCATTCCGACTAATCTAATTTAGGTTATACGTGGCAGAAACTGTACTAGCGATTGAATATCTGCATTCCTACGGAATTGTGCATAGGGATCTGAAGCCTGATAAGTAGGTGTTTACTCATATAAGCATGCACTTTTTTCAATTGACAGTTTGTCTTTAGTTGACTACGAGTTTGGTTATGCTAGCAATAAGTTGTTTCATCCATTACCGTCTTACGGATTTATGAGAGCAGTAGCTTGTTTAACCAATTTGCAGCTCTCTTACACATTTTTGAGCTTTTTTTTCTGTTGAACGCTCTAGATAGCCTGATCGTGACATATGTGTTTTTGAGTGATGAGCTTTAAGATTTTTTGGAGGAGCTTTTGTGTTATTGCTAATAGACACAGAGGTTTTAAAAGATTTTGGTGAGGTCTGCGTGTAAAATATACATTGAAGTTTATTCTGCAATTTAGCAAAGTAGTTTTTTATAAATTAAAAAAAAAACATCGTGGAGATAATCCATCATCATGCAAGGATGTTGCAGTTTACTGATCACAGCGATGGGCCATATAAAATTGACGGATTTTGGATTGTCGAAAATTGGACTAATGAACCGAACAACCTTGGTGGCGGAAGGCTTCGAAAATGCGGTGGATACACACCAATTCAAAGACAA